TTAGAACCATATCCGATCCCCAAAAGCCTGAATAATGATATCAATAAGGAATTTTGATATATAATAAGATATAGTTTTCTCTTGAGAAGAGACTGATGTTAAAGTTAGAAAAATAAGTGTGTACAGCATAGATGTAATTCTATAAAATAGAATCCAGAAATATGTATGATGTACCAAAGAGAATTGTTCATTTTAAGAATTTGTTAAAGTGGCTTAAACTATACATGAAACACATCATGAATACTTAATTGATATTTATAATTTCAAGCTGTTCATCTGAATCATGTGACCTGCTTTCTTTTTTTTCTTAATTCCATGTCTAAGATTTGACTTAAGGTTTTTATAAACTTCTGTTATCGCTCCCCTCATGAATAAGTTGGTAAATAAATAAGAGCCTTAAAGCTTTAGTTAATAATTTTCACCTTTTTTCCTTTAAAACTGTAGACAGCTTCAAAATTAAGAGAAAAGGTATTTATTGATTATTTTTATCTTAAAGCCTAGAAACATTGGTCAGAGGTAGAATTTATCATAAATCGTTTGCCTGTGGTGGTTTCATTTACTTGGAATTACATATTAGAATGGGTGGAAGACTAATGTCATTATTTAGTGTCTCACCAAATTAACTCTGAGGAGGGGTACTGGAGAAGTGTGAAGTATAGAGTGTGAATATAGAGCCAGTGCTGTGGAACAGAGTGGCTATGTTTGAATCCTCCATTTACAAGATGTCTGACTAAGGGCAAGTTACTTAATCATGCTGGACTTCATTTTCCATTTGTAAAATTGTGGTAGTGATAGTATTTCCTCAAAGATGTGTTATGAGGATTAAAATAATATAACACATGTGAAGCATTTAGGATAGTATTGACTATCCTATATAGTAAGTCTTCAAATGTTAGTCATTATTATTACTATTTAGTAATACAAAAAAATTAAAACATACCATCTTTATCAGGGATTTTTTAAGTACAAAGGTGTGAGAATTTTTGGTGGCCTGCACTGGGTGGTTATAAAATATGAGGTTCAATAACACCTAACTTCTATATCCTGCCTGTCTTTCATGGTCCAAATGCTTCCTTGCCTCGTTAGTGAATTGTACTTCTCAAAAGTTTGTTATAATGGTAACAGTTTAATTCTTAGTCTACCTTCTGTTTCACAGTGTTCACTATTACTTTATGAGTCTTGTCCATAAAAGCTTATCTAGTCTAGTATACACTCTAAATGCCTTTAAGTCAGAGATCAAGTTTTTCACAAGTCCTGGTGCCCAACATTGCATTGAATGATAATAATAGCTAACAGATATTGAGCTCCATATTCCAGGCACTGTCTGAAGTACTGCTCATGGCTTAACTCTTTAACTCTCACAACAACATGAGGTAGACAGGCAATTGTAAGTATTCACATAGTTACTTGATAAGGAAACTGAAATTTAGGGAGATTAAGTTGCCTAAAGTCACATAGCTAAGCCTTGGATCTGGGTACTTGGTAGTTAATAAGGTCTTAACCATTATGTCTGCTGTTTGGAGGCTGGCTGCCGTACTCCAATATTTATAAAAATCACTATGTAGGGATTTAGTTATGGTCTTAAAATATCTTTTTTTTTTTTAAATGATCAAAACTGCTTACTTGACTACATTATTATTTGGAGGGATAATATGAAAAAATATCACTCTATTCATGCTTAGACTTTCTAGAAAATATGACCATGTGGACCATTTTGCTTATTTGGTCAGAATATGGTGTCAAGATTTAATACAAGTGTTACCACTTTAAGAAGCTATAGCTTTTTCTTTTCAAGGCTTATTCTAAATCCTAGCCAAATTATTTATTTTTCCAACTTTTTACTTTTGAAATTTTCAATCTTTTAGGAAAATTAAAAGAATATTACACCTGGATTAGCCAGTTGTTAACACTTTGCCTCCTTTGTTTTACTACCAAGTGTATGTACTTTTAAAATCCTAAACCATTTGAAAGTTGTGGATCCTGTGATACTTTAATATTTCAGCATAGCTCTTCTAAGAATAAGGACATTCTCTTACGTAAACAGAACACTATTATAATACCCTTGGAAATTAATAGCTCCATTGTTTAATACCAGTCCATATTTAAAATTCCATTTTCTCCAAAATAAATTTTTAACATATGGGTGTGTGTTTAAATCCAGAATTTAATCCAAGTTCATGCATTGAATTAGGTTGTCTAAATCTATCTTTTAAAATCTAGGATAGTCTTTCTACCTTTGATTTATAACATTAAGTTTTTTGAAGAACTCGGGCCAATTGTCTGAGAGAATCTTTCACATTTTGGATTTGTCTCTTTCCTCATTTTGAGATTCAGTTTACCTCTGCAGACTATAACTTGGGATACTAATCTGGAAGCTGATCTTGTATATGACAGGTATGCAAACCAAAACCACAGATAGCATCTTGTCAAATGTCAGTATTTAACTTGCCTTCAAGTTGAAAGTTTGAAGAACTTTTGAATTCCACCTGTATAGTTGCATCATGTGTATTTACCGAATTTTAAAGCATACCCACCCTTCTTGTGTCTGTGACCTATACATTTTTGCAAAGGGTCAAGTTAGGATAATGTTTCAATTCTTAAACTATTTATAAAGAAATGATTTCTAACATCAACATAGTATGCTGGTTAGGATCACAGACTCTGAAACTAGACTACCTTGATAGAATCTCAGCTCTGTCAATTAAGGACTAGCTTTGTGCCATTTGAGCAAGTTATTTAACCTCTCTGTGCCTCTATTTCCCTATCATAATGGGAACTAATATTAATATCTACCTGAAGGTTGTTGGGAGGATTAAATGTACTATTGTATGTAAAGCATTTAGAATGGTTCCTGGCATATAATAGGCATGTTTTCAGTGTTAGTGGTGGTTATCATAGAATAGTTGTTATTTTGGCAATGACAGAGGAACAAAGTACATGCACAAAAGAAATGAATTCTCTGGAAACTTATAGCTGAGGGAAGTGGAAGTAGTATAGTGGTAAAAATCATGGGCTTTAGATTTAGACATGCTTAGATTCACATCCTAATTCTGCCCCCTTTGCTTGTGGTTTAAACAAGCCACATAATCCCTCTGAAATTCAGTTTCTTTTACCTATGAACCAGGAGTCACAATATTTTACAGAGTTGTTATGAGGATTAAATGAGATAATGTATAAAATGCGTGGCCCAGAGTAGATGCTAAGAAATGAGAGTGCCCTCTGACACTTCCCACCCTCCATTCCACTTTTGGGCAGTTGATTTCCTGTATGCTCTTGTATGCATTTGTTTGCAGTTACAGAACTTCTAAACTTCTTTCCATTTGCTAACAGCAGAATAAACAGCAGCTGTTTAATTGGATACACCTTGAAAAGTGTGTTGTCAGCTTTTTCCCCCCTCTTCCGTTTGCTCTTTTGGGTTACTTCCCTTATTACTAGAACCAAGATGGTAATCACTGTTAATAGGTCATAGAATTGAACTGAGCTGTAGCCTCAGAATCCTTTTTTAACAGTATTCCATGCAGCTACAATCAGTTCATCAGACTTCATACAGTAGTGAAATCCTCTCTGCCTTAGAGCTTTCTAGAAGAAATGTTTACAGGGTAATCAAAATAGTAACTGGACTGCCCATTAATACTGTCTTGAGATGTGTGCTCGTCAAACCTTACGACAAAGCAGAGTGGTCTTAGACCATTTTCTAACAGATGCTTATCTATATTATAACATTCTTACATAACGTGGGCATCTTTAGACACCTTCTGGAGGAGGTGCAATAATTGTAAGAGTATAATGCATGACTATAATGCAAAGATTACTATTCAATGACTCAAACAAGAGTATGCATCAGAATCAGCTGGAACGTGGTCTTAAAAATACTCATGCTCTAGGCCTCACCCATATTTATTGAATCATAAACCTTAACATACGCATTTCTTAAAGTTCCCCCAAATGATTCTACTAGTTATATCACTGGTTAAAAACTACTAGATACTGGCAAGAGTATAAAGAAGCAGATATCTTCACATGCTATTGGTACAAATGTAAATTGCTGTAGTACAGCCAATAGAACAGTTTTGTAGTAGCTATCAGATTTTCAATCTGTTGCCTAGGAGTACATATATGCACAAATATATAGTTTCAAGAAGATTTTCTGTAGAGCTGTTTATAATATCAAACAGTTGTGAACAACTAAATGACTGTCAGTACACAAATGGTTAAATACATTATGGTAGATACCATAGTTGTTTACTGTGCAACCATTTAAAGAATGAAGTGTATATGAAAATGATCTATACATGTTGATGTAGAAAGATATCTAGGATATATTAAGTTGAATAAGCGAGTCACCACTTATAATAAAAACCTTATTTTTAAAGTTTTACATGTAAATTTATAGAGAAAGATTTAGGAGAATATCCAATGAAGAGTTTATAGTCGTTATTCATGACAGAGAAGAATGGGAATGATGGAGGGGGAGAGCAATAGGCATTTTTACTTTTGTATTTAAAATACTTGCAATAAGATTTTATTATTTTTGTGATAATAAAAAGAACCACTGGACAGAATATGGATGATTTAAAGGAAGCTTTATGGAACTTAATTTATATGTTATTAGGACACTGCTTATATTGCAAATATTTAGATTTAACCTTAGAATTAAAATCTCAACTTGGTAAACAGAAAGGAATGTCAAGACTACTTTGTGTGTTTACAAAGAGGATAAAATTTGTTACTAAAGTTATTGTAAAAGTAATTAAGAGTTTCAAACATATAAGCATTTAAGATAAAAAGTATTTGCCTTGTGTCAGAATTATATTAGGTACATGTTTTAAAAATATTTAGTGTCTGCGCATATATGTATATGAAAATTGACTTCAGAATATTTTAGTTTAATCCTTTTTCAGAAAGTCTCATATTCTGGATTTTGTTGATTACGTCCCTATGATTAGCTTCTAGCCTGTGAGGATATTAACACCTTTTAATTTCCTCTTTTAAAACTTTAGGCCCGATGAAAGAAAGGGAAAGTTAAGGATGCTGGAGCAGAACAATGGATTTCTCTTTCTCTTTCATGCAAGGGATCATGGGAAACACAATTCAGCAACCACCTCAACTCATTGACTCCGCCAACATTCGTCAGGAGGATGCCTTTGATAACAACAGTGACATTGTTGAAGATGGTGGCCATACACCATACGAAGCTACCTTGCAACAAGGCTTTCAGTACCCACCTACAACAGAAGATCTTCCTCCACTCACAAATGGCTATCCACCTTCAATCAGCATGTATGAAACTCAAACCAAATACCAGTCATATAACCAGTATCCCAATGGGTCAGCCAATGGCTTTGGTGCAGTTAGAAACTTTAGCCCCACTGACTATTACCATTCAGAAATTCCAAACACAAGACCACATGAAATTCTGGAAAAACCTTCTCCTCCACAGCTACCACCACCTCCTTCGGTACCACAAACTGTGATTCCAAAGAAGACTGGCTCACCTGAAATTAAACTAAAAATAACCAAAACTATCCAGAATGGCAGGGAATTGTTTGAGTCTTCCCTTTGTGGAGACCTTTTAAATGAAGTACAGGCAAGTGAGCACACCAAGTCAAAGCATGAAAGCAGAAAAGAAAAAAGGAAAAAAAGTAGCAAGCATGACTCATCTAGATCTGAAGAGCGCAAGTCACACAAAATCCCCAAATTAGAACCAGAGGAACAAAGTGTAAGTTGAAACATCTTTTTGAAAAATTCTGTAATATTTCACATTTACTGGAAGTCTTAGAGATTATTCAGTTTTTATCTCTTGAAATATAAATATTTCTGGTAACTTCTTCTAATCCCTAACAAGGAGCTTTGGATATTATAACAGGTGCTGAATAAATATTTGTTGAATAAATGAATGGATATCATTAGAATGAAGCAATATTTTTAAAACCTGGCACTAAGAATCTTGCTTCCTATGTTTCTTTGAATAATATCTTCACTTTACTTGCTATTAATAAACTTGTCTCTAAAGATGGACAAAGAATATAATTATATCTTTTTTATTAGTATTTTAGACCAACTTTTGCCAGTAGAGCTTAGATGTAACACTACTAGTGTGTTTGCTACAGAATAACCTGAAGTAATAGAGGAACTCTTTTTATTAAACTAAGAATTAGTATTCATATA